CTTTATTTTATACTTTTGATACTACCGAACTATGCGATTGGATTAACCTTGGAATATGTTCCAGATTTGGTCCCTACAACTAGAAAAAATTATGAGATAACTAGTCCAGAAGTAAGTTATAGTTAAATTTATGCAAGCCATAGACACATATCTCTGTTATACTATTCCAAAATTTTTGTTATCTTTAGAAGGAAGTGATTGTTGAGCTGAACATTTTTTCAATATATATAAACGGAATGAGAGTGCTGGTAAAAGAGTGGCAAAAAGACGTATCCAAGCGAAAGATAAAATGCATTTTAAGCTGTTGGTTTGTTTCAAGATTCTTCCTATCCAATAAATATAATCGAATATGGGACAGTATTAGTTATTTATTTAAATTCTCAGGGACTGATGCAGGAGAAAAAAGAAAAGCAACAGGATGCAGAAGTTAGCCAATCGACTAGTATCACAAATTTATTCGCAAAAGTGGGTTATGAAAGCAATGTCAAGTTTGATGATGATTTGAAAAGGAATGTTGGAATGTTAATACGAATAACACCAAGAATGATTAATTATTGGGCAGCGGTAAGGTTTTTCTTTTTTTTTTTTTTTTTTCATGAGCAAATAAATCAAAAACGGTTCTGTTGCAATGTTTCATATCACAGCTTTTGCTTGTGATATCAAGCAAATAAGATTTCAAATTCTTGACAGTTGCCTTTCAGGAACTGAAACAGATGTTTCAAAAGAAGCTAGAAAACAGAGAGTTGCCGGAATTTTCACGTACTTTGATGAAATTAAACGTATCAATCCTTAAACCACGAATTCATAATATAACACTTCCAGGATTCAGTTACAAGGTCTGTTCAAATTTTTGGTTATATCAAAAGAATGCTAGGCATGATGAATAATTTCAATCCTTTTCAATTAAAATATTAAGTGGTAGAGATAAGTGAGATGAGAATATGATAACGAAAGAAGATAATTCCGGATCTTCAATTTAATTTACTTATAACGTACCTGAAGTTTTAATAATACAAATCATACATATTTTGATTTATTTTTAAAAAATTTGTTTTAACATGAATAAAAAACTTATTTTTTGCACTATTGGAAACGAAATTCGGAAACTAGTTTCAAGTTTTCCACAGAATTCGCTTTATCTTATAAGGTTTTCAGTATTAATTTAGGTGCAGTGCAATAATACCTTGGAGGTAATATTACATGGAGGATCAGCGCAACTGTCAAGTTCTTATCGAGCAGTATATCGAACCATTCGTGAAGGATATTTGGAAGCAAATATGAGCAACTTCGTAATTAATTTAAGACTTAAAATTGCTACAACATTTGCTGGGAAGTTATTGGTAAGTATATTTGGAAATAACCAAAAGAATAGAAATTAGTCTAGTTTTCTGACGTTTGGATCTGTAATAATATCTATGGAAAGACCTGTCTCAGAATAATAAGAAAACTTAGTCCACTAAGTTTGAACCGGAAGGGAACTTACCAATACTAAATTATGCATGACTTTTAATTGTAATGATTTGAAAAGGTCAACTAATCAAGTCTTGTTCATCAATTTTTTGAATGCATTACATATAAAATTTAGCTGGAGGACATAGTTTGTGGTGCAGAAGTACGATCAATTGACATTAAACTGACACCGAAATTACACGAATTGGTTGATCAGGGCTTACGAGTAGAATTAGATGAAACCGTATCTGTTGTTATCTGTGAAGCTCTAGAAGCGTTCACAAATCAATTTGAAGAACGCTTGAATAAGTTAATACGCTCACCGGTTGTTGAAATTAAAGTAAGTGAGTAAGTGATATATGTGTATTTTAAATCTTAAATGAATTCTGAATATCTTACTGTTTACTTGATTTATTTTGAAAATATTTCACTATCCACTTCATTTAAGAAAATTATTTCATCCAGAAGATTTCCTTGTAATGTTAGAATTTCACGAATCTTTTTTTCAGATTAATGATACGGTTACACGTCTCCTTATTGATACTACAATAAGCAATGATATTTCCCTGACTGAAGACTATTTCGATTTTCCACTTCTTGGTACTCCCGCAATCAAGAAATTGGAAACGGAAGCGTATCTAATGGTTTGTTTACTTCGCAAACTTCGAAGAATCAAGTTTTTTTCCTTCGGAAGAAAGAATTTATCTGCCAAGTTTAATATTAGAAGTTTAATTGAAGTTGTTGCATCGATATATTCAGTTTTCCAGCTGATTTAATCTGCTACTTTGACCTTTGGCAATAATTCGCCGCGCATTATCTAGTCACATCGCTTTTTCTTGCTTTTCGTTCCTTTTTCAAAAATTTCGTCAAAAATTTCTAGAAATCACCGAACGATAAAGTGGAAATGATTTATTTGTATGTCTCAGAATCAGTACTAAATATATTCCTGAAGCAGCTTGCAACGTTTGGAGATACCGCGTTGCAATTACATGCAGATCCAGAATTTCAGAAGTTACTAAGCTTAAATTGTTCTGAGGACGAAAAATGCATGGGCGACTTGTTACAGGATACAGAATTATATGTTCCCGATTCAGGTGCGCTCTTTCGTAGTTCGTCTTCAATTTTTTATATTATTTTATCAGAAATTAAATTTTTTATTGTAAAACTCATCATATCAGTAGTATAAAAGGTGACAGTTAATAAATACATTAACTTGTTATCTCGAATTGTTGCCGAATGAACCTATTAATAAATAAAAATCTATTAGGGAGAAATTATTAATTCTATATTGAAATTTATTGTTTAAGCAGTACGTCCTAAAACAAACAATTACAAATTAACTCAAGTAGATAGATGAGGAGGATGCATACAATGGCTTATTGTTTGGTACAGGAAATGGAAGTAAAATATAAAGATGTAAATTCAGGTCGTATGGTCATCAAAATAAGCTCCCCGTTAGTTGCATCAGTTCGGAATGGTTTTGCATTGATTGATTTGCATCTAACAAGTTTCGTAACTTACAAAGAGGAAAGTATGGATGTGAAAGTATTGGAGTTCGAATGGCATGCAACGATACATGTCAGTAATGAATACCTGAATGAACATCTTGCTACAACGGTATAAGTAAATTATTTATTTTATAGTTAAACACTCATGCGGTTGCCTATTTTTTTATTAAGGGCATATACCTTGTCACGATCCACGTGACAACAACTTATTAGAATAGATATGACATGTAGCTTTCTTCAAGCATTTCTCAAAATTTGTCAACCAAATCCCGTCCGCATACGTATGAAAACTAGAAGCCTATGATTATTTGCTAAATTAGAATCTTGCAGTGTCAATAGTTATCTGTAATAAGGTATACAGAAAGTAAAATTAGATTTATTTTAGTATAAGCCAGTGCAAAATATGGATGCATCGCTGCAAGTGGTTAGCATAATGATAAGCAATGTAACGCCTTATGTTGAGTTAGTCTCGAATTGTGATGAACATCTACTGCGATTAATTTCTTCAAGAAAAAGATTCTTTGAGGTTAGTTTTTAATGCTTAATTTTTTAAAACAACTCTTTTACTAATTCTTCATTACTGCGAATAGAGAGAAAAACTTTTTATAGACATCACAACTGTGCACAGAAATTAAAAATTAGTTTTACGACACTCACACACACACTTCGATATTATATTATCTGCCACCACAGATTATGCCATGAAAATTTTCAATAAAAAAATTGACATCTTTAACTTTTGTATCTTCTTACTTCACACTTCTTCTTTTTTGTCAGCTTTAAATTTTCATTAAATTCAGATTTTTACATTAGGGTACAATGCTTGTAATTTTTTAGAAATTATTAACGCAACAGTGCTCACTAGCAAGAACAACAAGTACACTATATAAAGCAATATATTGTACAGCAACTTTCCGGAATGGTACACTTGTGATTGCTACTGGCTTACAGTGGAATCCGGAGTTGTTTTACCAGTTCGGTTTGTTTAGCTAAGTTGGCTAAGTTGCATGAATATGCTAAGAGATCTGTACTGTGAATGAGTTCCATTCGCTGGTAAACAATCACTAGTGCTTATCATGCTAAGCATTAATGCATCTCATTTTGTGTCACAAATAATTTAAATCAAGAACATCTTAAACAATTATCAGAACCCTTAAAACCGAAAACTCACAATACTATTTCTATTTTTTAGCGCTGTACAGCTATTTAATAATCAGCTCATCGATAAAAATTTTCTGATTAATCATGCTTATGAAGATAGATACTGAGTAGTAGTCAAGCACTTCCTAAATTTCCACCTATCACTAATTAAAATATGTAATTTGCATTTGTTTCTCAAATATGTGCAGAAAAGTGATGTACTATGCTAAAATCATAATTAATTTTTGCTCATCAAAAACAAGCATAAGAAATAGCTAATTGAAGTGAATATCCATGAAGCATATTGCATAACATATCTGAGAGTTTGTATATATTTTTAATGATCTCATTCGATTGTTTATGATTGATTATATTAATTCATTTTTTGAAAATGTGAATCTGTGTACTTATAAATAAATGCTCATGATCTTTGTAACATTCTTTTAAAATATATAAATACAAAGCAAAAAAGGAGGAAATAAAGTTTAAAGTTTAGATAGTTTACAATAAGCTCTCATTTTTCTTAGAACGACAAGCGCAATTTAAGCGTTTTTTCTTCTGTGCAACTAATTATTGGAATTAAATTATAAATTTAAATTACAGTCAGTTTTTATCATTCAACACATCCGGAATGCTCGTATTAAACGAAGAAAGAACGTTAGAAATGGTCGTTTACTTGCAGCGAAAGTCAAGTTGAAAGCTTTAAACAGATTGACTGTAACGAAATTCCGTATTTATTACTTAGCACGTTAAATAGAATTTCAGATGGAATTTGAATTCATTTTGAAGTTAAAGTTTTTATTTGAAAATTTTGGACCTTAATAAAAATTTTTATGCAGAAAAAGATATTCTGAGAAAATGTTTAGCAATAATTCATGCCTAATCCACAACTAAGATGCAAAATTAACTAGAACGTTGCGTCCTTGCCGTAACCAGACGTCGTCGATCCTTCACTTGTTTACTTTGCCTTTCGTTAAGATTTATAATCGGCCCATGATACTTGTGCTCTGGGTCCCAATCAAGTGGATCATCTGCTGCTATGTGATTTGCCGAAACGATAGAAAAATACTCATTAGTTACTTAGATGTAAATTCTTTTCAAAACAATTAATAGAAGGAATCAAAAAAAGCAATAAACTTCCAATGGTAAGCTATAATCCAAATCAAGCTAACTCGATTTTCTCATATTTGTATTCATTTAAATCAAAAGCTAAGCGAATTGATACCTTAGCAGCATGTTGTATACAGTAATAAATATGATCATAATCCGGTATACTTTCATATTCCAGTGAATCAATATATTTCATTATTGTTGAGAATTCTCGTCTGGGACATTGTTTAAAAAAATCATCCATTGCTTCACCTTCACGTACCTCTTCTTTCCACTGCAGCACTTCTTCTTTGTCAGGCCCCTAGAATTAGGACTGTCAGGTTGATCAAGTTTTACCTGAAATGTTCATTTACATTTGTGTTAAAATCATATCTCTGACTATGGTAGTCGCCAATAATAATTTGTTAATTTGAATGCCATTCACTCTTCTTTCCTTCCCCAGCTTCTTAAAAATTTCACTTCAATGGATGGATCGCCATTTTGATTTAAATCTCAAACCTTTAGTTTCCTCCACGGCAAAGAACCAGCAGTCCATTCAACTGTAATATAAAGCCATGATTCGACGTCATCTTTTCGTGACTGCTCCATTTGTCGCAGTGCGGCAATTGAAGCATAACGAGTAGTACCACGAAAAGGAGCGGAAGCACGAGGCAACCGTAAATCTTTATTTCCAGAGCTGTAATTTTTGATTAAAAGTGAAAACTGAAAGTTATTCTTTTTATCTTATTAGGTAGGATCATTATTACAATTAAATCAAGGTTACTCAATTACTGAATATAGTATATCCGTTGGTCGCACATATATGCTTTTAGATTCTTGCAAGGACTGACAACCATATAACTATTTCATTTTATTCATTGGCTTACAGGCATTCAAGCGGACACAAAAGAAGAAATAATAATCCTGAAAACTCAGAATAGTACTTATTTTCAACCCTCTCCAAGACATTACCTGAATTGCCTGCATAACCCGAAGTCAAGCATAAAAATGGTATGATGTTCGTTGGCTTCCGGTCGTCCGATCGCAAAATTGCCCGGTTTAATGTCTCGGTGTAAAAATCCAACGGTATGCAAGTGCTCAATTGATTCCAAACATTGTTCGGCTGCTTTTAATGCTGTATTTAATGTGAAACGTTGTTCTGGCCGTTCCACCCTTAAATCCCATAAATTTCGACCAACCTGAAAATTTTATTCATAAAAAAACCTAAAACTTTTTCAAATTTTGAAATAAACTTAGTTTTTAAACTAAAACATCATGTATAAAAAAGTTGGGATTAGAACTTCCTCGAATTATAGTAAAATAGATTATGCTTAAATTTGTCGAAATTAATTTACAGTTTTGTTCATTCAGTAGCATGACCAATGTTTATCAAGTTGCCATAACATAGATGACAATCCGCAAAAGGTGATAGTTTCTGCAAATGAAATCTACCAGTTTCATGATGATAAATCTGAAACGTTCAGGTTGCTTTCCACGATCGACAATCTCGCAAAAATGTTTGCTTCCAAGTGACTGAGCACCACGCAAAACTGTACAGTCCATTAATAATACCTGTGGAAATCTCACTGCTTCATTTATTACCTTAAAATTTAATGACTTGCCTCCTAATTGTCAGAAGTTTTTAAACAGTTATTTAATAAAATAGTTTAACTTAAATCATATCAGAAAATATTACTCGTTTTCTAACATCCATTAATTCACATTTCATTGCAAAAGCAGCAGAATCCGATACGCGTTTTACTTCATATACTGCTCCAAAGCCGCCTTTGCCCAACAATTTTATTGACTGAACCAGCAAACTACTTTACTTTCTTGCAAAGATTAAGAATGAAAAGAAATTAATTTTGTTAGTTAAATATGGTTGCAGAACAATTTATCACAGAGTATATAATTTTGAAGTATCCGATGTTTGCATGGGCAAATTTCAGCTGTCACCTCATATTCTGCTTTTTTAGTGATAATGAATTCACCAGGCTGTGGTAATTTTTCGCTGAGTTTTTTTTCAGCCATTTCCTGGAAGACAGACATCACTTCTAGAAAACAATCAGGCAGCTAATATCTCTGAAAGTTCCCTTTCAGAAAACGACGCATACCAAATCTAATTTGAAGAATTTGCGCCTTTTACAAAGAAATTTCGTTGTGGACACTATGTGTGGACATTTTCAAAGTACTAAGAATATTAATGAATGAATCTTTTGAAATATTTTCTTTTATACTGACAAGGAAAATTTGAATAGAACGAATTTGAATATTTTCTACAATGTATTTGTTGCTTAAAATAAGTGCAAAAATGAAAAATGCAACTTTTAATGTCAAATGCGTATACAAAAGTCCATGTGAAATCTCCCCTATCTAGCGAAGTTGACAGTATGAATTACGCCCGGAACAGTAATTTTCATTGAATCACTTAGGTGGTTTGAATCATTCAGCTCAAACCCCGCTATGACTAATTGGTATTTTACGGTTAGCTATGGTGTTTGATGTTTATCGCTATGGTTTCACAGAATCGTAGAAGGAGGAGGAGGCTGGACTGCGTTCATGCTTTACATATTCCGCTTTAAAGAAAGGAAAAAGGATTATTTGGCAAGTGACATTCTTTAAGTGACAAGCAGAAGTTTCTTGGGGAACTCGAGCTTGACAGCTATTCCCCATATCATTGCTCACTTTCATCTTCGATCATTTCTTTGAACCTAATTGGCAACTTTTTTTTCTAGCTTCGTTTTTTTACAAGCATTTCCTGTTTACTAATGTTTTTAATTAAATTTCAAGTTATGAAGCGTGCATCCAAAGAAGCGCTGAAGGGAGAAGGCGGTCAGGAAATTAATAAAGCATCAGTGGCATCCATCACATCATCGGCCAAATCTGCAGAGCAGAATTTAGAACGTTTGTATAAGACAATTCGCAATTCAGCAAAAAATGAACGTGGCAAGAAATTGCGTTTGGAAAAAGCTTCTGTAAGTTATTTCTCAACGATACAAAATTGGTGATTCGTATGAAGAAATAATGAGATGTCGAATATGCATATGCCACTCACAAGATTTCATTGTTAATATCTTTTAGAATGAAGAGATCAAAGACACAAGCACTTGCTTTTCTTTGTAACGAGCTTTAATCTTGTGAAGTGATTCGAAAAGTTTTTTTTTGAATTGAACATTTTATAAAGATTATTAAATTGTTCTTTATTGTGTGAGGTTTTGTCAACTTTTATTTCTGCGATCTTACCTGTTTCTTCTTTCATTTGTCGACATTTTTTTCGTCAGGAGGTATCTATATATTAATTTTTTTTTCTGTGAATTGATTGTTTTGTTCTTAACACAAAACTATCTAAGCATTGTTGGTCGGTATCGTTCTCTTTTTTTGTAAAAATTTGATTTAGGCAAAGCGTGAGCGACAAAAATTGCGTTTGAAATTACGCGAAAAACTTGGCGAAGAAAAAATACCGAAGGAAAAGCCTCGAACAATTGAAAGTACTCGTGAATTTGATATTACTGTGATAGAGGATGACGACCAAGAAGTTTGTTCAGATTTTTTTTATATATGCAGGTTTTAATACTATTTCTATAATGTTAATCATAGAGTTGAGCAAAAGACTTGTTTTTTAGCAAGTATAATATGTATGAAGATAATCATACATATTTTTTGGTTAATCTTTTTTCTTCATTCATTGGTTGGACTTTATTAATTGAAATTTGAAACGCATGGTTAATCAGTGTCATTCATTTAATCTTGTAGATCTTTTGGAATTTCCTTTAATGACTAATGAGTCATAATATTTTAGTTGTTAAGAAGTAATGTTTGAGAATTTTTTGACTGGAGAAAATGATTAAATATGTGCAAAGTTTAAGGACCAAGAAGTATACAGTGTCATTGTCTTTCAGGTTCAGCATGATGAAGCAAATGATGAGATGAGCACATACTTCAACGACGAAATACCACCGAAAATCCTGATAACCACGTCACCATATGCTAAAGTGGTTAGTTCTTGTCTTGTAGAACATTTTATCTATTTAGAATGGTGCGTATTTTTCAATTTGCATGACGCAACACACTGCAACATATGCTATTGAGTTCTACAACTGAAGTACCGTAATTACAACTGAAGTACCATAATATGCTGACTATAGAAGCTTAGAATTAGTATTCCAGTTTACGGATGTTGGGAACAATTTCTTATCTTTCTGTTGATTTTTCTATTTTTTAAGAACACATTCAAGTTTTGCTACGAATTGCAAAAATGCATTCCTAATGCTGATATATTTACCCGTAAAGGAATCCCTTTGAAAAAAGTGGTGAAACAAGCAAAATCCAAGGAATATACTGATTTGATTGTAGTGCACGAAGATCGGAAGATACCAAGTAATTTTTGTCTCTTCTTTGTCAAATAAGTTATTGTAATTCCTTTACATGAGATGAATGAAACAATTTATGTAAAGATATGCCAGTTCAGCTGTAGTGCTTGAATTTTTTTCACTACTGCAAGTATCAAAAGTTACATCACCTTTTTTTTGGTGCTGTGACATAATTATTATTATTATTTCCAGATGGTATTGTTCTTTGTCATTTACCAGATGGTCCAACTGCGTTTTTTAAAATTAATAGTTTAACGTTTACTAAGAATCTTAAGGTGAGAATTTATTGAAGTGCTATATTCTCAATAATTTTACTCGTTTGTTGATTTTTGTTAATATCCAAATTATACAAATAGGTTTTATTATTTTGGTTTATGAAGTTTTAATTTTTTAAAATTTCATTCCACTCTACCTTCTTTAATTCTAAAGACTTGATGAATAATGTAACTTTATTATTGTAGAAAAAAGGTGAATCCACCTTGCATTATCCAGAAATCGTATTAAACAATTTCAACACTCGGCTTGGTCATACGATTGCTCGAATGTTTGCTTGTCTTTTTCCACAAAAACCTATGTATTCTGGGCGACGAGTGGTTACTTTTCACAACCAACGTGACTACATATTTTTCAGACATCACAGGTTTTGCATTACCAACCGTTAGCGAATTTAATTTTCAGATTATTTCGTTGATAACTTTCTTTACTTCTCGGAACTGACAAAATTTAACTTTTGCTTTTCCTCTTATTGCGATTTTTCCTTTTCTTGGGAATCATTCTCACATTCCTTCCTGAACATCTTCCTTTTGACGGTTTGTTTTTATTTCGAAATTTGAAATCAAATTTGAGATATTTTTCATACACGATGTAAAATTATTAGAATTGATATTTAACTTTGCTTTACTATAAACAGATACGAGTTCAAAAGAGAAGGTGAAAAGGCGGCATTGCTCGAGCTTGGACCTCGTTTCACTTTACGGCTGAAATGGCTGCAGAAAGGAACATTTGATACTCGATATGGTGAATATGAATGGGTCCTAAAGGTATTTTTCGTTTTACTTAATTTTGGATATCATTTCGTTCTTAATATTTGCTTCATTATATAATTTGTTAATCAAATATTTAATACTAAGATGTATTTTTTTCTGTTTTAGCGAAGATTTTTTCTTATTTGTATTTCATTCTAATGCTACTGAAGCAAAGGTGTTGAAATGGATTACCTTGTTTGGAATCAAAAGTGTTTTATTTTTTCATATGGTTTATTTTCAGAGGCATGAAATGGAATCTAATCGAAGGCGATTTTTTTTATGACAAATTTGATAATGCCTCAATTCAGTTATATTTTTTGATAAATAAATTGTAAGATTCTCTACGTTATATATATATATATATTTTCCTTGGAAGGTCATATTGTGTTGTATATTGTGAACTGTTGGATCACTAATTATTAATAAGGAAATTCACAGTGAATGATTAGGTTTAAGCTTGATGTTCTGCGAGCGTCCAAAAGGATTACAAAAGATAAGCAGTACGACCATTTGAAATTCTCTATGCTTTAAAACCATATAAATTATTTGAATTATTTCCTTTCCTTTTCTCTTTCTTATCAAGACTTATTCTCCGCTTGTATTAAGTGATAGTTATTAAGTTTCACTAACAAATAATTCAAGTTACTTATGCACTCTTATCCATGTTGCTACAGTGGCGGATTGTTTAATTTGCAAGGATATCTGGCTTTGACCTGCATCCGACAAGTGAATTGCATAATGAGATTAGAAAGATCGTTCCAATGAACGCATGACATCCGGCGTATACCAGAAACTAGAATTAAACTTATTACAGTGTACTGCTCAAACGGCTGATTACGCTTTTATGGTATGAGGTATAAAAATTTTATTGGAAGTATAATTTCTGAAGTGCTAAGATCTGACACGGTTTCAGACGGTTTGAATTCGTAAGCAGTGGTTAAGTGAGCAAACTTGATTGTTGATTGAATTACAAAATCAAGGCACCAAAAGGCAAACTTATGTTTTCCAAGGAAAGTGAGTTTTTTCGAATTCAATAGTTAATGCTGTACATAAATTGGTTACTTGTTGCCTAACAGGCATGTTAAGTCCGTGTTGATCAGGTACAATGATGGTGAGTAATGTTTGAAGCAACAGGGCAGTGAACGAATTCAAACCAAATACTAAACCATATGATTCACCGATCATTTTCCTTGCCAAGTTCCACCTGCAAGTATAACCAGAAAAAATGGCGGCGGTTAACTTACGTTGGATATCCAATTTCTCAATACAGGAAAATGACAAATTTTGTGAAATTTTACAAAATTAAGCATTTCTTTCTCTTAATGGTCCAAGGATACTAAATAGGTGATGCTCTACTACATATCAGCCATAACGAGAGCAGTACTATAAGTGGTGCTGATTGTTGCTTCCTTATAATTGCTGTAGTAGTTTGCATTTCTCAGAATCTTATATTAATAGAAAGTATTCCACATTTTTCTAACTTAGCATGAATTCGTAAAGCAAAGACATGAATTATTTTTAGATATGAGGAATTCTTAAGCTAAATTGAAGTCACAAATTTTTTACTCAGCTTTAGTAGATTGATAATAATTTAGCAGATTCTGTAGTAGATTCTAATAAGAAGAGATAGACATTTCTATGAAAAAGTCAATTG